GAAGAAATGTTTAATTTGTTTTGCATGTAGTACCTTTTTTGACCACTGGATGACAGTAAAAGACTGTTTGAACCGAAGGATGGATAGTGAGGGAGCAAGCAACATGTCTCTTTAAGAAAAATGGGAGGGAGACCCCTTGACATGACATGGGCTGTCTGTCTTCGGCTCTCAAAACGATGGACGCTCTGTGTGGTTTGAGCTGTTTAGCATAGCATTTTTCACAAAACTCTTAATTAAAAACATCAGTAAACAAGTTCTCAGTTTCTTTCTGCAGAGAAAAACTTTTTACACAAAGGCACGGGTTTCAACCGTGAATTCTGGAGCTTCGACAAGACGGAGGTTTTTCCCGAGGTCGGCTTGTTAGCTTAGCTTGTAGCTTAGCTTCTCAGCTTAGCTGCTTTTAACGATCCAAAAAATGCGATTTTAGACAGTTAAAATTGCTTTTAAAGAGAAAGGGAGGGGTCAGTGAAGAGCACCGGAGTTGAGCCTTTTGTCATCCAGTGTCTTCAGTAGAAAGAGAGAGACACGAAGAAACGATAAAGCCGCTAAATGAAAATGGGGTTGATAATTTTCATTTATCATGCGATTAATTGATTTGTTGTTTATCGTGACAGGTCTTGTGTCAGCACCTTTTACAGATAAAAGCACCACTGGTTTGCCACAATACTATGGCTGTGCAGACAGAGCATGTCATTGTCATAGTAGCATGAACTTGTGTAATATTATCGTTGAGTCACTTACTGCTCCATAGTTTCCATTATTACAACGAATATGTTGGGTACAGTGCTAAGTTTAAGCTTCCATGTTAGAAATCACCTTATGCAAAGGACTTGAGCTGCAATGGTTTAGACAAAGTAGATGTTACCTTTTGGTCTCCTGTTCTGATAAGCACCTGTTTACAAAAAAAAAAAGCCTTGTTGTCTCGTTAGATGTACGCTCCATCTTTCTGTTATACTGTATTTTATTAATGAATAAGTGAATGTTGCTTGCATTTTAATGTCAGCGAGGCTACTAAAACTATGCTAGTGAAATTAGCCATACATTTGTGCATTGCAGTAATTTTGGAAACCCCATTTCAACATTTATGAGCAGTCAGAGCTGCAGTCACATCAGTAACTCCTGTTTTCAGTGTAGGGGCTGCAGCTGTGAGTGTAACTAGCTCAACACATCCAGCGATGTCTGATAACGCCAAATGTCTTGGGGGGGAACAAAACAGCAGGCAGAAATGTATTGATTTAATTTATTTATTTTGAGAATTTCTGATCAGGTAACTGAAACGATCACTTAACGCAAAGGTGGCACAACTCGAATGTGGAAAAACCCCTTTTAGTTAAGAAATGATCACATCCATCAAACCACGTCACACCTCTCTGGTTGTGTGTGGAGGGGATCTTTTATGCAAACTGTCCCACCTACTTGCACCTTGCATGTTGGAAATGTGCCAAAACCGCATCAGAGAAAATAATTCCCACACATCGAGAGAAGTCGAGTGTAATCAAGAAGCGTTTGCCACCCCCGCCCCTCCCGGCGCAGGCTGGAACGTTAGCATCTGTTTCATACAGTAAAACAGAGAAAGACATTTTTCAATGTACTGTTTAAGATCATAAACCAGAAACCTACAGCTTGGTAGTGTGAAATTATTAAAAGAAAGTATTTTCGATCTTGTGAAATTGGGTTCTATGAAGATTTAATGAACAATTAAAATTTCTATTGTAATCTGGAGAGTTTATTTTAGACCAGATTGACCAGCTAGCAGCTAGACTGAGCAGGGTCAAGACCAAAGTAGATTTTCTGCTGTTTTAAAATGACGGAGCTCTAAAATTTCACCGTAATTTGTGCAAATGCCGTTTTATAATCCTTACACCTCCTTCAGCTTCACATTACATGTTTACGGAAAATTCTATTGCTTTTTGCAGGAGCATAAAGGATTATCTGCTGCTGCTTGAGGCACTTTGGACAGGAAAATCCCAGCATTTCCATCGGCTGTTTCTTATATTTATTTACATTAGAAGGAAGAAACAGCTGTAACAAATCTGAAAGTAAAACTCTTCCTCGTAAAAAAAAATCAATTGTAGTTTAATGACAGCCCCTCTTTGTAAATAGTGCTAGCCGTGTTTGACATTTTTCTTATAAACTGAGTTCTTAAATGTGCGTTGTCCCCTTTGTGTCAGTTTATTGCCAGAATTTTGCCACCAGCTTCAAAGAGAGCGAGATGAACGCCATCGCAGCGGACATGTGCACCAACGCCCGCCGCGTGGTGCGGAAGAGCTGGATACCCAAGCTGAAGCTGCTGATGGCCGAGAGCGACGCCTACTCTGCCTTCCTTCCCGACGGTGTCAAGACGGAGGACGACACACTGGGGGTAGATCCGGGCTTCGATCCTGGCTCGCTGGAAAACACGGCTGCGATCGGTATGGAGTCCGGCGGCTCTTCTGGTGAATCTCTGCAAGGTGTCGGCGCGGATGGAGGGCCATTATTTTGAACATGCGGCTCGGGGAAGGTGGAAGTCTGGCGACACGCCTACCTGTATTCCCCCAGTTGTGCTTGCCTCCTCACTTTTGGGCCCACACTGATCTCTCATATCTTGACTTGACGTTCAACACTGCAAGTGGCAACAGCTGTCACCCTGATATAACCAGGACCAGAAAACTTACAGTTCCTGCTTTATTGACTGTAAAACGAAGGTAATGGAGGACGGAGATGGTGTAGGAGGCTCTGGCGTCTGCTTCCACTTGTCTTTATAATGTAAGTGCATCCACTGTTGCGTATGAAATACATTTCCTGAGGTGCAGGTGGTTGGAGGAGCTACCAGTGCTGCCTGAGGAGGAGGGGATGTCTGGTTGAACAGGCTGGAGGCAGAGGTGACGAGTATAATGAATGTAAGTGTCACTGGCATTTTTCTCTATGCAAGCCTGACAACTTGTGTTCCAACCTCGGGAAAGGAACTAAAAATCCACATTTAAACCAATTAACACTACTTGTTCTTCCGCCCCGTACATCTCCCGCTCATCACCCTGCGAGTACTCTTCAGCCCACCTCACCTTTGTCGAGACCAGAGAATCTCAAAAGAGTGTTTCACTGTGCCGCATCTTCCAGAAAGATTTTCCTCTTTCTGTATTTGTTTGTTTGTTTTTTTGTCCACATTCCTGTCTGTGAAGGGAAAAGTGTCAGGGCGGAGAAAGCTTTTTACAGAGATGATTGTAAAGAAGACCGGGGGTGGGACAGGCAACTAAAGATGGTCTTATTTTTAGAAGACAAACTATATTTATACAAGTGCTCGCGTGTAGAACGGTGTGAGCGCCGAGAGTGCGAGAGATTGTTTTAAAATCTCAATATTAAGCTTTTGTTGAAAGAGTTCTTGTCGAATAAGGAAAAGTGCTATTTTTGCAGGAGTATAACGAAGAAGTCTTATCGTAGGAACCTCTGTGGTTTGTTTTCGTCTTTGTGTCACGACAACAGTGATGGAATGAGCAGTTGAACTGCTAAATTTTTTTTTTGACACATTTCATCTTCTGTTCAACAGCCTGAAAGGAACAATAGGTCTGTTTTACCTGGCTCGACTGTGTCCGTTATAACTTTTTCTTGTTAGGTCGTGTACCTGCAACGTTCGCCTCCTTTGATAAAACATTGGCTCACTATTCTGAAGACTACTTGTAGAAATGTAAAGGTTAGAATGATCTGACAGCTCTGCTAGCTTTGTTTTTGTACAGAAAATGTTTAAAAGTCAGTAATAATGGTTGGATAATAGAATGTGCCTTTTCATTGAAACCAGGAAGAGGAAGGTAATGGGGGGGGGGGGGGCAGTCGGGGTGTAACCGTACATGTATTTGTACAGAACTGTTAATACAGATGTCATGGTTCGGTGTGTGCAGTCAGACGAAGAATGTGTCCGTCATAGGCGACCAACATTCTTGTGTAAAAGAGGGGGGATCGTGTTTTTTTAAAATTTTTTTTTTTTATTTAAATAAAGTTTTTCAACTATAGCAGCGTGCTATCTAAAGCACTCTACACCAAAGCTAAGCAAGAACTGCTGGTTCACAAAAGTTTCAAACCTCGCCCGCTTGTTTCGAATCGACAGCGTGGAAAACTTTTGCAGTCCTAATTATCCACCTAGCAGTAAAAAGTGAGAGGTCGAGATATGGAAAGCCAAAAGGGTCATTATTAATGAGCTTTGAAACACATGCTGGTGTCTAATAAACACTAGGCTTTTAACGAGCACCACTCCAGCAAGAGCAACACGTTCTCATTCACTGAGCAGAGAAGCATGTTCATTTATATTAACTTTTATATCGTATCACATTTCAGCCAAATCAAATGAAGGGTGCACCGATTGCAGTTTTCTGGCCGATCACTAAAAAGTCTGACCTGCCGATACTAATTTTGTTTTCTAAGCGACACTGTCGGGTGTCATAAGGTCACAATGCACCTTCCATTTTCCAATTTTATTTTATTGAAAAGCATACGATATCCTAGAAACGATACAAACTTGTTTTAATTGGCCATGAGGTAGTGCTCTAAAATATAAATGAAGTTTAGACAATTGTTAAAATTACAAAAATCTGTAAAATCGGTTTCTCATGTTTGTCCGATCACCCAAAATTAAGGAAATAGGGGCCAAATTAGCCGATAAATCGATAAATACACCGATAAACAGGCATATCGGCCGGCCAATTTATCGCCTAAATCAAATAAACTGCTTTTTAGACTATTTCTCTTAAAAAAGAGTTTTGGAAATTATCAAATTTTTTTTTTAACCTATGGTCTGAAGAACACTTAACTAGGGGTGCGCCGATTTGCGGTTTTCTGGCCGATCACCAATTTCTAAAAAGTCTGACCTGCCGATTCCGATTTTATTTTCTAAGCAACACTCGGATGTTATAAGGTCACAATGCACCTTCCATTTTCCAATCTTATTTTATTGAAAAACATACAATATCCTAGAAACAATACAAACTTGTTTTAACTGGCCATGAGGTAGTGCTCTGAAATATAAATGAAGTTTAGACAGTCGTTGTTAAAATTACAAAAATCTGTAAAATGGGTTTCTCGTGCAAGTATCGGCCCACTTCCCAAAACGAAGGAAAATCGGGGCGGATAAATCGGCCGGTGCACCCCTACACTTAACAATTTGAGATGGAATGAAATGAAAACTAACTGTTTCTGTGCATATTATTAGTTAAAAATAATTATGGGGGTAAAATAAAATTTGGCAATAATTAAATTTTTGAGTATCGAAATGGGGGTCCCCAAAAAACCTATAAACACACTGAACCGTGACCTGATGTGTACCGTTCCACTTCCAGAGTGCAGTGATGTCTTGAGATAATCACCTAAAGTAAACTGAATTTAACGGTACTAGCTGTGTGCACGCCACATAGTTCTTTGCTAGATAACCTAATCTCTGCGTTGTGCAGATGTCTTTCATTGTGTAATGAGTTTGTCTGTTGCACCTCTTCATCATTTTTTTAATTTTTTTTCTTTGATGTTTGAGTTGACCTTTGCACCTTCCACGAGAGATTGAGTGGTGGTTTCTGCACCTTAATGAGAAGAACCAGTGGTTCACGCACCTTTTGAGAAACGTGTAGCAATCAACCCTCCCACCCCACTTGCAGGTGGAATTTGTCCTTTTCTTTTTTACTCCCCGTACTTGCTTGTGTTTCGTGTTCAGAGGTGGTATATAAACCAAGGAGTCTGTTGTGTTAAATCCCAAGTGTTCTTCCTTTCTGGAGCTGGATGAGTCTGTTTTTAATGTGAAAGTCTGACTGAAGCTTTTTTTAATTTTAGTGCATGTTTACCTGTTGATCGTTGGTCAGTACGGAGGACTCGCTGTTCCTGTTGCAGGACGACGAAGAGTGGAAGTTAGTCAGGGTCTGGACTTGGAACGTGTTCCCATCCTGAAACGCTCTCTCGGACAAGCGAGCGCTTCTCGTCTGGGGAAACAAAACGTTTATACGAAAAAGGTTCTACGCTTTTTTTTTTTTTTTTTTTAAAGACGAGTAGAAGAGAGTTCACCGTTTCAGTGCATGTTTGCCCTAAACCGGCTTTGGAGCGTCATAGATTCATTTTAGCTCGGCCTCTTCTTTTTTTTTTTTTTATCGTTTAAACTTAAGGATGACGTGGTGGTTTAACTGTGAGATGCGCGAACAAAACAGAAATGCAGTACCTTTTGAGTGTTCAATAAGGATTATAACTAACAAAACCTCAGTTTTGCATTTGACTGTAGATGCCATGTTGGGCACCCCTCCCCCGTTCCACCTCTCCAGTATCTTTGAAGACTGTTAAAAGTTTCTTTTCCTTCACGTATCAAGCTGGTGTCATGTTCCGCTTCCACAAGTTCGGGCAATTATTTCAAAGAGCAAAGCAGCCAGAATTGGGTGCACATCTTTTTTTTTATGTGCTTCACGTATAAGGTCTGTACGCTCAATCGTCCAGGATGATGATGACAAAGGTTAAATCGTGTCATCTGGACTAGTTTCTTTAAGTGAGAAATGTTTCGACCCCCATCCAGAGGACTTTGTCAGTCTATGGCCTGCCAACCAGATCTGTCCCGTAGGTAGCCTTCACTGCTGTGCTTCAAGACCTGTTGAACACCTTTTTACTGAACCACTTTGGCCTTGGTGTCCTCAGGCTGTTTCTGTGAATAGCAAGTTGGTCATCTGTCCTAAAACGTTTGATTGTTGTACATGATGATTGTTTTGGATTGGTGTGTTTTGTACCTTTAGGGCAACGCTAAGGAGAAAAACTTAAAAGCCATAAAATGACGAGAATAAAATATTACGAGAATTATGACTTTATTTTTTGCAGCTCATGTTTTTGTTTTTGTTTTGTTTTTTTGTTTTTTTCTTCCACGAGTCAGATCCACGACGCGACCTGTCAATCATTCCAGTAGGCGTGTCAGCAAATGACCAATCCGAAGCTAAATGAGTCGTAATATTATCCGAACTCGGACACGATAAAGCAGGTTTACCTCATTTTAGCTGTGGTAAAATGAAGCATGTTGAGCATCTTGTTAAGTTACACTTTGGTATTGGTTTTACAAATAATAATAATACTTCCTCTGTCAGCACATCAGCATCAGATTATCAGTATCGGGACTTTGAACCTGCTTACAGTAAGGTGGTTCGCTCTGATGGGCTGCAGCAGCTCTCTGCAGGTACGGAGCATTTAGCTTCGGACTGGTCATTTGCTGACACGCCTACTGGATTGATTGACCGGTCGTGTCGTGGATCCGACTCGTGGAAGAAAAAATGAGTGCTGCAAAAATAAAAAAAAGTCTTGCATGACTATTCTTGTAATATTAAGACTTTATTCAACTTTATTCTCATAATTTTATGGCTTTTTTTTTTTCTTAGCATGGCTGGCCCTAAAGCTCCATCGTGGTTTTGCACGTATTGAAAGCCTACATGTGAGATTCCAACAGGAGGTTTGCTTTAAACAGCAGTGAAGGCTACTTGTGGGACAGATCTGGTTGGCAGGTGGTAGACTGAGGAAGTCCTCTGGATGGGGGACGAAACGTTCCTTCACTTAAAGAAACTGGTCCAGATGACACGATTTAACCTTTTTT